TTTATTTCGTTGTTTCTTTCCAATTTCTTTCCAATTAGCCGTTCAATAGAGAACGAGAAAAAAAATTAATTAAAATCAGTAGCTTTTCCATGGCCATATTCTTGAAGAAGATTTTTCAAAAAAAAAAATGAAAATTCATATTGTCTCTAAACTATTATTTGAGACAATTTTCTCTTGTATTAATAATCTTTTCTAAAATTGAAAAGTTGAAAAATTAAGAAGGAAAATGTCTCGACTATTATGATGAAAGTGCGGCATCATCGTCAGCATCAGCCGTGGTGGTGGTGGTGGTGGTGGCAGTGGCGGCGGCAAGCTTTACATCATATTCCGGGATTTATAATATTTTTTTTTTTTTGCAAATCTTTTACACAACACTTAGATCAATGAAAAAAAAAATCATGATTGAATGTAATATTTGTACTGTTGGATGATTTTATTTATTTTTTTTTAATTTCATAAATTCACGAATAAAAAACTTTGTTGACATTTGGCCAGAAAAACGAAAAAAAAAACCTAAATGTTTGCCGACATACTTGACAGCAATAGTGACAGAAAAAAAAGTGACATTCATTTCTGGGCACACGTTTTGATTTTCATTTTCTTTCCCAAATACAAATACTATATATATTCATCCAATGACAGTTTGAATCTTCTAAATTGGGAATAGCACGATGAGAATGCGAGAGTATAGTTTCAATCAAATGGCACAACTAAGCTTATTGAACATCCGACACATTTCAAAGTGTTTTGTTTTGTTTGTTTGAACTTTTCAAACAAATCCCGAAAAAAATAATCATAAAAGAATATAAAATACGAGTATACGCGCACACGTTTTTGAATTTTGTTCACCCCCCCCCTAAAAAAAAAAACTAAACAAAACAAAAATCAAGATCATCATCTGATCTTATCTATCTAGATATCTCTATTCACTTTAAGCGCTTTAAGCGTTTATCTTGGTTAATCACTTAACTTTTTTTTAGTAAAAAAAAAAATAAATTCTTTCCATTTTTTTTTTCATTGGCAATCAATGAATTCAATGAATGAAAAAATTCAATATTTAGAAATCAAGGACTTTTGGGCATAGTATCGTAATATGATGATGATGGTAGTTGGTTGGTTGGTTGGTTAGTAATATATAGAGTTTAGAATATTTTCTATCCACGCACATCATACACCACCACTCAAGGATCCTGTGTGTATTATATAGCCAGAATACGCACTCGAAATACATTCAAATTCAAGTGATCTAGTTGTTATTGTTGTTGTTGTTGTTGTTGATCAGAGTGGATGAAATAAAATAAAAAAAAAGTTTGTTCCGATGTTTATAAACAACAACAACAACATTATCATCATCACAAGTGTAAGTTGTATACAACTCTACCCTGAATTCATTCATCCCATTTTGATGAAGCATGAGTCAAGTTGAATGTGCACACACTCGCAAGTGAGAATAGAAAAAGATCTCGATATTCAAAAGTTCATTCTCAGTTATTGATAATGACAATTGAACAAATGGCTTCTTTTTTGTTTCGTTCAATTTATTTCGATTTTCACTACCAATTTTCCTATTGTATACATTATTGATGTTTGTTTGTTTGTTTGCTCGTTTGCTTGCTTCAATTTAGATGAAAATTCAATTCAATTTACGAAATTCATCCCAATTCGTGGCAGTGGTATTTTGAATGAATGGTGAAATATATTGATGTGTGTGTGTGTTTGATATTGACTTTGATGTTCAAGTGTTTGTATGCGAGTGTGTGTGTAATGTGCGATTCTATATTTTATCGAAATAGACCCGATAGATAGACTTCTTTTGTCGTTCATTTGATCGATCTTTCTGTCTATACTATCCTACTAGGTTCATCATCATCATCATCATCATTCATATAATCAATGATAGATAGATACGTGATGTTTATTATTGTCTAATTTGTTTGCTTTTGTTGAAATTTTTTCTCTTTTTTTTCATCAATCTCAATCTTAATATGACATGAATACAAAAGGACACACGTTTCATCTTAATCATCATCATCATCATCATCGCTAACAACAACAACAATGTTTGATGTGTCAATTAAATAAGATTGACATTCGACCAACCAAATGACCGGTCGACCGATCAAAGATCAGATCAATACGATTCATTAGAATAATAATATTTTCTAGGTGCCAAACATTCATAAGGAATTGACAAGGTCTAAAACATGAAAATGAATATTAACAAGATAGTCACACAAACACATACACATACATGCATTGAAGAGAACGAAAGAAACAAACCATCACCACCACCACCACCAAAATGAACGATAGATTGAAAATGGACGATAATTCGATTTGATTGGTCAGTCAGAAACATCTGCTACATTTTTTTCTATTTGTATGAAGAAAAATCAACAACAAGAAATATATTTAGAGGTAATAATTGTCGATAACACCTTGGCCAATGTTTGAAACAATGTTGTCGTTTTTTCTCTTTTGATTTTGATTGGATTTTTTTTTATTTGTGTAGAAAAAAAATCAACTAATTGCCTTTGCTCACATTGTGTCAAGACTTTTGGCCCGAACATGAATATTGAACAAAAATTTATTTCAATTGAAGAAGAAGAAAATAAAAACAATTATCACTATATGCCAACTTTTTAAGGTAAACCAATTTCATCATATTATATATACCACATAATGGTATGAAGAAAAAAAATTAAGACAAGATATGATCTTTGAATATCTGGTATGTTATAGCAACAACAACAACAAAAAAAAAAAATGTCTGGTTCCACAGTTGGTGGTGGTTTTCATTTGATGATGATGATGATGATGGCCATTAACGATAATATATGCTTTAAAGGTTGGCAGGATCCATATAGAATGTCAGGATGTGTGTGTGTGTGTTTGTGTATGTGTGTATGTTAGTGTGACTGACCAGTCATGCATCCATTTTGTTGTAGTTATTGTTGACCCAAAACTTGAAACCAATTATATATTCGTTCGTTTTTAAAACACAATGGAGAAACATTCACCATAACCAGATAGATATATAGTCACCAAACGACTGACATGACAAGACAAGACAAGAAGCCCAAGATCATCAATTGTTTTCGTCCAATTCTTCTGTCCATTTAGTTGTTTGTTTGATTTTATGGTGCGGTTATTTATTATTTTTATCGAGTTTTTTTTCCATCTTTCTTAATCATCTTCATCAACTATTTTGTGAATTGAATTTGAATCTAGATTGGCCACTTTTCATTCAATCTATGTACGGATTGTGATATACAAACTATGCGTGTGTGTGTATATATGATTATTTTATTTTATTTTTTTTTTTTGGGATCCGCCTTTATAAAGGCGGGACGCCAGAATACCCGGATGAACGGGTCGTCAAACAAAAAAAAGAAGAAAAAAAAATATGAAAATATTTTACCCCGTATTGTGTTTGGTTGGCTAGTGTTTTTTTTTTTTTTTTTACTATTATATTTATCTTCCTTCATACATTTCATTTGGGTCTTTGTTTTTTTTTCTATTATTGGCTCTTGTCAAAAAAAAATCAAATAATAAAAAAAAGAAAGAGAAGGCAAATTTCATTTTTTTTTCAATTGTGTACCAGGTGGCAAAAAATCTGCTGCTATTAATTTGAATCCGTAATCAATGAACTAATAGAAAGAATGACATCGGAATATATAACTGAATAATTATCAACTAAACATGAACGACACTTTCAATTTTTTTTTTTTTTTTTTTTTTTTGGATATCGGATTCATTTTTGTGATTGAAAAAAAAACAAAAATTCTTGAATAGAGACTGCGTCGTAAAAAATAAGAGAAAATTTTATTTTTCAACCATTTAAAAATTTCCGATTTGGAATACAAAACCGGCTTACTACACATCCTATGAGATGTTTTTGTTGTTTTTTTTCTTATTTTTGGTATTGTAAGCATCTCTAAACACACACAGACACACACAACTGCTTATGTCATTTTACAATAATGATGGCTTGTGTGTTTGAAAGCTTTTTTTTTCTCTTTGTTTTAATGATGATCATCCAGAAAGAAAAAAAAATTCAAGTTCCACATATTCCACTCTTTTTTTTGTTCTCTTTCTTTTTTCTTACAAATATTTTTTTTTTCTTCTTCTTCTTCTGAGGATGTCTATTGATGATGATGCTCACAGCATGAGCTTTTTGGATCGAAATTTTTTTCCACTGTTTGTTGGTTGTTGTATATACAACATTGAAGTATCCATTTGAGAAGATACCACAGAAACAAACACACACATACATATACAATTCAAAATAGCAAATAATAGAGAAAATTGTTAGTGAAAATATTTGAAAAAGAGACAGGATGGATACATGGATAGATTTATTATATTGATAGAGAGTAAAAGAGAGAGAGAGAGAAGGATACAAAACAGACAAGAGAACAAAAAAGTATATAACCATACCAATAATAATAATAATAATAAAACGCGCGCGACCAAACACACACACACACACACACACTAAAACTTTGAAATCAATCCAGTCCAATAGAAAAGAGGGGACGTATCAATGTATTCACAGCTCCACCCTAAAAAAAAAAATAGTCTTTCAATGTTGTATTTGGATATCCGTATATGTGTGCTTACACAAAAAAAAAAAAACCAAAATGAAAAAAAAACCAAACCAACCAATAATAACGACAAGCAAAACAGCAGCATACACACACACACACAGCAGAAGCAAAAGTAAATGATGATCATCATGGTGATGATGATGGCAAGAATGAGGATGATGAAAAAGAAGAAGAAGAAGAAGAGGAAAAAAAGAAGAAGAACGATGGATGAACGAAATTGAACTCAAGGATCAATTTTCATTCTCATTCTATGTTTAGTTCTATTAGATGACAACCAATCCTCTAACGATATGTTCCAAAAACGGGCAATGTTATATTGTGTGTGTGTGTGTGTGTGTGGTGTATATGTGGTGTGCATGTACAATATAAATGACAACGATGATAATAATGATGACGTGCACCGGTCATAGGAGTGGTGCATTTAGTTTCGGTTATACATATTACAGTCTCATTGGTAGGCTGGGTATTATTAACAACAACAACAACAACAACAACAGCAACAGCAACATATACTATACACGCCACTTATATTGGATACCATTTTTCGGTTTTTTATTTTTGCAAAATATATTTTTTTTTCTACTTCTACTTTGCTTCATTCAACCATGTATACTGGGTAAAGAAAGAAAAAAAAAACATTCATTCATACACCAACGAGAAACCAACGATACGACCACGATACTTTTTCTTTTTTTTTTTTCTTTCTTTATTTTCTTCCATTTGCCACATTCATATCATTCATTCACAAACGTTTCGTTTCAAACAAAACACATTTCATTCATTCATTCTTAATCATTGATTTGTGTGGAAAGCGACAATTTCGTTGCAAAAAAAAAATCATATAATCTCATCATCACAATTTTGAAATAGAAATTCTTCTATCTTAACAAGATTGATTCTGGTGATTTTGTTTGAATCATCAAACATCATCATTTTTGTTTTCTTCTTCTTTCAATTTTTTTATTCTTAGTGAGTGTATTCCGTGGCCAAAATCCGAATAAAAATCGGAATTTTTTGGCTTCGAATCAAATACACTTACAACAAAACAAAACTGGCCACAACGGATTTAACACATCAAAACGATATTTTCCCGCCACGACACCACCTAGTGGGCGTTGGAACTAACATAGAATCAAGACGAAGAAGAGTTTCATCATCGCCCACATCATCGGCTACATCGTCCGTTTCATCGATTGCATCATCATCATCTAATGATCGTCATTCAATATCATCGCTAAATAATAATAATAATAATACGAATAATAATATAAAAAGAAAGTATTCATCCAAGCGAACAACAACAATAACATCACCTAAAAAACTTCAACATCATCATAATCGGACATCATTGATTGTTGATAACAATCATTCAAAGCAATCACAATTGATCACTGGTTGTTGCCCTTCACCTTCATCTTCACCACAACTACCATCATCGGCTGCTACAAGCCAATCATCATCATCATCATCATCATTGATTGAGAAATCTAAAACAACGGCTCCTCAACTATCATCATTATCGCCGTTATCGGCGTTATCATCGCTTGGTGGACCATTTGGACCATCACAGCTTCATGGCATGACAGCCCTTGGCCTTGGTGCAGCGGCCTTAGCAGCACTATCGGCATCAGCCATGGCAAATGGTGCAATCGTTGGAGGATTGGCGGCCAATGCTAATGTTTCATCTCAATCATCATCGCCTAATTCATCTGGGAATTCTTCAAGTCAAACATCAAATACATCACAACAACAGCAAGCAGCGGCTGCTGCGGCAGCTGCTGCTGCAGCAGCATATGGAACACATCCGGCAGCTGCAATGTTCATGTTACCTACGTTGAATTTTACAGTCGGACAGGTAGCGGCCGTTTGTGAAACATTGGAAGAAAGTGGTGATATCGAAAGACTTGGTCGATTTTTGTGGTCATTACCGGTAGCACATCCAAATTGTGCGGAATTGAACAAAAATGAATCCGTACTTAGAGCTCGGGCATTAGTCGCATTTCATGCGGGCAATTTTCGTGAACTATATCATATACTCGAAAATCATCGTTTTACAAAAGGTTCACATTCAAAATTACAAGCAATGTGGCTAGAAGCACATTATCAAGAAGCGGAAAAACTTCGTGGCCGTCCATTAGGACCGGTAGATAAATATCGTGTACGAAAAAAGTTTCCATTGCCACGAACAATTTGGGATGGTGAACAGAAAACACATTGTTTTAAGGAACGTACACGAACATTATTACGTGAATGGTACATCAATGATCCATATCCTAATCCAACAAAAAAACGTGAACTAGCTCAAGCAACGGGCCTAACACCTACACAAGGTAAAAATCAATTGAATCAAATTTCTATTTATTATGGATCATTTATTGATTTATGTTTCCATATGCTTTTTTTTCTCTCTCTCTCCATCTCTCTCTTTATGCACACAAAATTATATTTTGTTTACGTATTTTGCATCACCATCATTACACATACGCAAACAGTCGGTAATTGGTTCAAGAATAGACGTCAACGTGACAGAGCGGCTGCTGCTAAAAATCGGTAAGTGCTATGTGTTTCTAGTATTTCTATCTGTACGTGTGTGCGTGTTTTGTTCCATTTTATAAATGCATGTACCAATTTTATTATTATTATTTTCTACAATATACATCATCATCATCATATGGTGAATTGATGACTATGAATGAAAAGAATGACAGGTTTCTTCTAATATTAACAGCATGATAATACTATTTGCCATTCTACACATATATATTCTCTGATGTCATTTCATTTTTTTTCTTCATTTTTATTTTTGCTTGATGTTGTTGTTGGTGGTGTATTATAACATATTTTGTTACATAATTCATTGTTTGAAACATTAAAGTACTGAGACAAGGAAAAAAAAGAATAATGTTGATAATAGAATCTGAGAAGCTGCTTTTCAAATAATGATTTTTTTTTACACAAATTGAAAGTTATCAAAAAAAAAAAAAAAAAACATTAATGGAAAAGAATAAACCTGAGAATGTGTGTGTGTGTGTGTGTGTCTGACAGCAGAATGTTTTATATATGATGATATTTAGTTGTTAGTTGAATCAAAATCAAAGCATATATGGAATAATGACAGTGATGATGATGATGATGATGATGATGATTCTATGGCTGACTGACTGGCAGCCTATAATATCTTCCTTGAAAAAAAGCAGATTCGTTAATTGAATCAGCTTTTAAAAAAAGCTTTGCTTTCAAAAGACAAAAAAAAAAAGGTAACAATATTTTGTGTGTTTTGTGTGTGTGTGTGTGTGTGCGCCCGACATGAAATGAAATGATGGAATATGTCTGGGTTATAATCCTTCAAAATAAGCTTTCATACTTTTTATTCTATAATGAAGATCATTTGTTAAGTTGTTATTGTTGTTGTCGTTGTTTTTCGTTTTCATTTTCTATTTTACTTTACTATTGAACTTTTTTGTTTTGTTTTGTTTAGTTGATGCTATTTTTTTCCATTGTTTTTTTTTGTTGTTTTTAATATTCATTTGATCATTTTAAAAGAAAGGTACCTTATCTTTCTTTTGTTGTTGAAAGATTTAATGTGTGTATGTTTTTCTTGCCATTGTAAATGTTTGAAATGTTTGTTCATTTTCTTATGAATTATAATGGAATCAAATACATTGAATGTGTAATTGACTGAAATGAATTGAACAAATTCATTCCTGAACTGAACAATCACTGATCTGACCGATCATGATGATGATTATGAATACCAGTTTGACGAGTCTGAGCTTCTTTCTCTCTCTCTCTCTCGATTTTGATTTTGATTTCAGTTTCATGTGATGATTATAATGATGATGATCATCTGACACCAACGAATCAAACGAAAAAAAAATCCTTATCAAACAAAAAAAAAAAATGATGATGATGATCTGATTTAGTGATGTTGATTTGAGTTCATTGAAATTCGTTTGATATGTGTGTGTGTGTCTGTGTCTGTATATATTCAATTAGTAAATTGAAACCAAATTGGTTTTGACCATCACCATTGCAGATGTTTTTCCAATTTTCATCTGTATGTATATGTTATAATCAATTCATGGTCCTTGAAACGAAAAAAAAAAAATTCGTATATTTACTTTGTGTGTGTGTGTGTGAAGTAGATGAAGAAGAAGAAGAATAATAAGATACGGCACGACCAATATTAACCCAATCACGAGAAAGAGAAAAACATGCAATCTGGTCGTCAATTTTGGATTTTCCAACAAAAATTGTTGTTGTTACATGGTGCTCATCAGCAAACAAACCAAAAAAAAAATTGAAAACGAAACAAACAAACAAAAATTGATGGCAATGAATATTATTATAAGAACGGAAAAAAAATGAAACGAAACAAAATAATAATCCAAACGGTTGCCACTGTTTCGGTAGTTGAAAATACAAAAGGTTTTTGACTCGTTCATTCATTCACTCACTCACTCACTCACTCTTTGTCCAGTTTCTCACTAATTGTTTTCTAATGAATGGACACACACAAACAAATACATAGATGAATGGACGGGCTATGTTTGACATGAAATGATGAGCAAACAAACTTTTGAATCATCATCATCATCATCATCATCATCGATGATGATGATGATGATGATAATAATGATTATGGGGGCGTGTTGATTTATCATCATTATTATTATTCTGTATATTTTTCTGTACATTCTCAAATTACCCAATGTCTCAATTAATCATCATCCAAGAAAAAAAAGGCCCCAGTCTTGTCATTATCATTCATCATTTTTTTTCTGTGTATACATTTTTTCTCATTTCTCATTGTCTGTATATAATAATCACTGTGATTTTATTCATTCATTCATTCAACTCTTATTCAGTAGTGTTTTTTTTCTGAATTTCAAAAGTTTTTATCTGTTTTGAATCATCATCATCATCATCATCATCCGGCTCATCAAACAAACGAAAAAAAAAATCAATTTATCCCAAACGGATGATGATTTGAATGAATTTGAGTGAGCGAAAGGCTTAATTTATTATTCGTTTTTTTCCCTTATTCATCACTGGTCAATGTTTTGTTTGTTTGTTTGTCTATGTAAACATACACACACACACACATAAATCTTCATGAATATAAATCGGATGTCCACTGTGTGTGTATTTTTGAATTTATTATCCATTAGAATGGACCAAAAAAAATTGGTTCCACATTTTCCACATCATTAATTTAGTTTTTTTTTCGTTCTTGCTTTTTTTTCATCCAACAAACAAACAAACAAACATAACATCTAATTATTGTCAACACGAACATCATGCACATAAATAGACAAATTTCTCAATTTCGATGGAATCAATGATCCAAAAATGATGATGATGATGATGATGATTATTTTGTATACAAAAACTTTTATAATCCATTTGATCATTAACATTGGTTTTCTTTTCTGACCATCAAAATCAAAATGGACAAACACTTGTGTCTTAATTCATTCAATCATTCTCTTAAATTGATCATCTTGTCATTTGTGATATGTGTGATGTGTGTGTGTGTGAATCAATCAAATATATCATACAAGTATATATATATTATATATGTTTTAATCTTCTTAAAAATTTGTGAATATCAAATTTTTTTTCTTGTGAATCTAAACTTTAAGGAAAAAAGGTGCCAACTAATAATAATAATAATAATAAGAGTGATCAGATCTCCACATATATATACACATCAAATTACAAGAGTACCATTATCATTGACAATGGAATTGGAATCACTAAAACTAATCAAGTTTAACACAATCATTGACATGATCGATATATTAATATATATATTTATATTGGATCGAATCACCAAAAACACGTTGTTAATAATGATGACTAGATCACTTGAATGATTTTGATGGAATGATAAACAAAACAAAAAAAAAAAATTTTTTTTTGTTTATTTAAGAAATTTGAAACTTTGATTGAAAAAATTCTTTTTTTTCTTCTTCTTAGAGCTTCTTAGAGCTAGTGATTGTGATGATGATCGCTATCACTTATACAAACAACAACAACAACAAGAAAAAATTATTATTGAAAATTTCCCAAAATCTTCTTTTTTTTCTGGAAAAGATTACAAGAGACCCACATTTTTTTTTATTTGCTAGAAAAAAAAATCATCTCTCATTTCAATAATTGATGGTTCATTTTGCTTCTTCGGAAGTATAGAGAGAAATGATGATCCACTTGAGTGTGTGTGTGTGAACACAAATGATGATCATTGATCTTTTCATTTTTTTCTTTTACAAAAACAACAAGTCAAAGGTCAGTGGTCAATGGGGAAAAAATTATTGGGTATTATATTCTAGTCATTATGATTATGATGATGATGATGACAAGTAAACATTGTTCGTGTAATTACTGCAAATATGCTCATTTGTATGTTCCAACAACAACAACAACAGAAAAAAACAAGAACAAGATACATCCTGAATCAAGTATTTACCTTCAGGGCAATATTGTTTGAAAGTTGGTGAAATTTAAATTTTTTTGTGAAAAAAAATACAAAATTGTTGTGAATGAATAACAATGATGATGATGATGATGATGATAATGATCGATTGATGAATGATTGATTGAGTGAGAAAGTGAAATTGATGAAACTTTCAACATAAACTCAATTTATTTATGTATTGTTGACTAACCTGTATATAATGGATACAAATATAAACATATATTACACACACACACACACATACGGTTGATTGGACTTGAAATGAACTATCAACATAGAAAAAAAAGAAAACGGAAAAATACATTTCGGACGGAAATATATTTTTTTCCATTTGATATCTTTATACTTTGATGATGATTGCCTTGTATGTTTTGTGTATTGTATTGTATTGTATGGTGGAATAATAATAACAACACAACAGCGTTTATCGGTGAAACCCTTGAAGGCATACTTTTTTTCGTTTTGTTTCTTTTGTTTGTATGGTTTTTTCCCCCCACCCATCATATACAATTCATTTATAACGGACAATTTGATTCCGTACTTTTGACATATATAATATATACAAGCACAAAAAAAACACATTTAGACGACAATTTTCCAGAACAGATCATCATTCATCATAACTATTCGTCGATACATTTCATATATATTTGGTACAAAAAATTTGATGGTTATATATGGCCTGGCACACGACCACGAATCGTGTGTGTGTGTTTATGTGTTGTCAGTTATTATCATTATATTAATGTCGATGATGATGATGATGATGATTTAGCTTCTGGAACAGAATCGTACATTGATAATAATAATAATGATTAGTTTTTTTTCTCTTGTTAGCTAGTAGTTATTATTTTCAGAGATTTTGGAACACACACACACACACAATTTGAAACACTCGTTTATTCACCTCTGCCTATTCAATGATGATGATGACGATGATAATGAATGGCGGTTATTTGTATTCTTTTGCTTGCTCGTTCTCGATTAGTATTCATTATTATTAAGTTGGTGGTTCTTTTTTTTTTAGTAAGGGCTGTAATTAAATCCAAACAAACAACAAGAAATATTATATTAGCGACAAATTAGCACAATCTGAGATACACACACACACACACACAAACAAATACGCAAACGGTATCCATTGTTACAAATAATAACTTCAATTTCATGAAAAAGAAAAATAAAAGATTGACGACAGCTGTTTTTTTTTTTTTTTTTTTACTTTTACTCCCCAATAATTATTATTCATTGATCCTTAATTAACAAATGAATTTGTTTTTTTTTCTAATATTTTCCATGCTGGTTGTTTGATTGACTAGTAGTATTTTTTTTTTCTTTTTTTGTTTCAATTAGAGATAATTGATCTCTCGTTTTTTTTTTTGTTTTGTTTTGACTTCCTGTATGTGTGTGGATTGTGTGCTGCTAAAAACAGCTGAAAATATTCTGTTGTTGGATTTTTTTTTCAATTTTTAACCAAATTTTGTTTTTCGTTTTTTTTTTTCTCTCAAAAAACAAACCAATAGACAAATGGCACAACAAATGCATCAAAAAATGCATTTACAACATTTAAGTGGCCGAAATGTTTCAGGCATCCATCATGGCCTTCATCATCATCATTCCGCTTTTGGTGGCCATCCTCCTTCTTCTCATCATCATCATCATCATCATAGAAATTCGAGCTTAGGTTTTAATACAACACCTACGTCAATTTCATCAACAACATCAAATGGTCATAAAAATTCTTCTCTACATCGTTTCAGTGTAGATGCATTAGCTGGTAATGATTCACATCATCATAGTGATACAACAAGCTCCAAAGATTATGATATTGATGATGATGATGATGATGATATTCCATTAAATGTCACATCAGATGATGATGATGATGGTATGAGTATAGCAAGCTGGGATGAAGATTGTGGTGATATCGATGATGATGACGATGTTGTTGATGATGATATTGATGATCGTGTAAATGATATCCATCATCTTAATCATCATCGTAATAATAATGATGATGATGATGATGAAGATGAAGAAATTGATGTTGGTCCAATAAGTCCTACGGCTGTATCGACAACATCTGAATCAAGTAATCGTGGTAATAATAATAATGATAATAGAACATTAGCAATAACAACAACATCAACAAATCCAACAATGTCATTGTCTAATAAACGTCGAAAACGAAATTGAAATTATAAATTAAAATCAATTAATTAATAAATCAATCAATCAATCAAATTTTCACATAAATAGAATCTATATTACACACCATTATGACCACAACCATTATTTCTCATTCTTTCGTTTTTCATCATTATTCTTTCATTTTTTGTGTTTTCCATTATTAAAATCATCTGATGAACTATATATATAAATATAAATATAAATAACTTCCGTTTATGCGCAATTTGGCTATTTACAATCATCATGAATCACTTATATGATGTATACTTTCAAAAATGTTGTTTTTTTTTGTCTCTCATCCACACAATTCTGTTATACAATGCTCATCATTTGTTTCGTTGCCCATATCACATTCATTATATATAGCTATACTTTAATTTGCATAATAAAACTTGATTAACAAACGGAAAAACAAGAATTTTGTATACAACATAATCACACAATCATACAATTTGTTATCAGTTAATTCAATAATAAGCCATTATCTTCTTTGTCCTTTTTGATTTTTGTTTTCTTAGGCAACAAAAATAACAATAACAACAACAACAACAGAAAACCGGTAAATGTTTATATCAAAATTTGTACCATTTTTTATGCGTGTATGTATAATAATAATAAATAAATAAATAAATAAAATGAAATCAAAAAAAAAAAAAAAACGCACCCTACCCTAACGATAATGATGAATACTTGATGCTTCTAACTTGTGCACAAATACAAATAAAAAACACAAAAACACACGATAACCAAATCAAATATCATTTTTTTCTGTTTAAAATGTCAAAAATTTCATTATTATTCAACAACATTCAATTCTTTTGCATAAACATAATACAAAACAAAACAAAACAATAATAAAAAAAAATCAAACAAATTTCAAATTTTATCTCATCATCAATCTATATTGAATTGAATTTATTTTTGATTTGGATAAATCAATGAATCAATAACGAAAAAAAAACTTTTTGAAAAAATAAGAAAAGATAATGTTATCATTATGTGGACCATTGAGAAAAACAAATCATTCAACAACGTCAGTCAGCCTGAAAAGAAAATGTCTCGTCTATGCAGATTGTTGTTATTGTTTTCATTCATTTTTCCATACTGTGTCATTCAATTTGATTTGTTCGACAATACAAATTTGAATACAAGATATTGTGTAGGTTAGAAAATGAATGTGGCCATCATCATCAGCATATGAATTTTTTTTCCATTTTTTCCTGTCTGTGCTCGTCTGATAAACTGGACCATCGTTTGTTGTTGTTTTGAGTAAATTTAATTTCACTATCTATGCATGACAGATTGAATATTGATCCATTTTCGATCCATTTCAAAAACCACTTGTAAATCACATTTAGGTGATGATCATCCAGGCATCATCATCATCATCATCATCATCAAGATCAGATGATTGTCGTTTTTTTTCCAAGAAAAAATCTTGAATCATTTGTTATTGAAGAGAAGAAAGAAGGGGAAGAAAAAAAAACTTACGATTTTACTTTTTTTCAAGTGGTACCATATATCAACCAACCAACCAAGCAACCAACAACAAAGTTTACAATATATTTTCAAAGTGAAGATCATTGAAGCAAAAAGTGACAAAGTTAGTTCCATATTAACAGTTCCAACAACAAATAAACTCTATTCAACCGAAAGGAATGAATAGTGTGTGTTTGTGTGTTTGAGTATGTTTTAGCCTTAAGCTTTGAAAGCAGCAACAGCAAAAAAAAAATTCAAACGAAAAATTTTTTTTTTATTCCAATTGTTCCAAATACAAATTGATCTTTACGATTCTTTTTCACTAAATTTGGTGTGACCTTTTTTTTCATAGCTAATTTTTTTTCTAGCAATGTTTATATCTGTTCAAGTGGCGCACGAGTATTCGTGATATGAACCAACCGACCAATCATTCATAGAATTGTGTATATATCTTGAGAATATTTTTTTTTTCTCAAAAAAGATGAAAATGTAAATCTTAATATATAGAATCTGATAATAGTTGGCAGTAGTGGTCTTGTGTATGTGTGTGTGTGTGTGTGTGTGTGCGGTTGTGGATTAAATTATCTACATACACACACACTCACAAACAAACAAACTAAAAAAAAACGTTCCATCAATTTGTTTCATATGTACTGTGTGTTCCAAGTGTGAACCAAAATATTATTAACAACATCAGGAAAATGAAAACGACGCATATGGCTTTCTCACCTAAACAATAACGAATTTTTTTTTCTATATATATGTGTACTATATATTGGTACATCCTGGATTTTATTTCATTACGTTTTTTTCGTTTTTTTTTGTTGCTGTTGGTTGTTGAATATCAAATTTTCCATTCCATTTAACCTGGATAAATGGTTATATTCACATATATATAGCCTTACGGGCAAAATTCAATTGATTATGATCTTGATAATGGTTATTGGTGTTGATGGCGATGAATGATGATGATGATGATGATCATCGAAGCATCAATATCACGATCCATTACCATTGAATTGAATTGAATTGAATATACTCGGTGTTATTGGTCACCCTAAAATGTGGATATCATATATTTATTGATGAAAAGAAATTTTAAAAAATGGTACACATTACATATTCAACAATTTTTTTTCCATGAAAATTGAGATTCAATGATAGTGGACAAAAAACGAAAAGTAAAATGAAAAATATGAAAACGAAAACATATGACCATAAATACAATGCAAAGAGAACAAAAGTCCATTTCACCAAGATTTATTCATTCATTATTATCATTAAAACACACACACAACACACAAAGAGGCTATATCAATATCGTGCTAATGGCTTTTTTGTGGTTTCTTTCACTATCGGCATATAGAAATCGTATCTTTTATTTTTATTCACTGAAAAAAAATCCATATAGATTATATTATTTAACAAGAATGAAACACGAAATTTCAATGTTTATTTTTGTGGTTTTCAAATATTGTTCTTCAGAAAGAGAAAAAAAATTTTTTTTTTCTCTGTTCATCATGATTGCGGCAAAATTTGTGTGTGTGTGTATGCATAATAATCACCAATGGCGACAAAGGTCAATATGTGTAACACATACTTGTATTTTTTTTTCTGAGACAATACACCATATACGATACATATCAGTTATAAAAGAAAGAGAAAGAGAAAAAAAACCTAACCGATAACATTACCGTAATAATAGTATCGAGAATTGATCCATTAACGGGTGCTTGATTGATTTCGTTTATTCGGCTACAAACTAATAATAACTTTGAAAGCTTAAAAGCTTTGATTAGCCAAGCGTCATTTTTTTCTGAATATTTTATTTTTTTGTTGTTTTGTCTCAGTTTTCTATTCAATTTTTTTTTGTTTTTACATTTTTGACTGTTAAATATCAATATCTAGGTTCCAAGAAGATTATATATGTGCATAATCAAAAATCTTTTATATAGACGACGACGACGACGACGACAGATAATCATATACAATACGCCTTAGGTATAATATATGAATATTTTAAGAATTAGTGCCATATATTTGTGGCTTTTACGGTGATCAATTGATTGTCGATCTGTGTTAAAATCAATCAGTGTATTTTGACCAAAAATAACAACATTAACAATAACAAATATTTAAGTCGAATCTTGGGCGCACACACATTCACACACACACACACACACAAACGCAACAGACAAGCATCCAAAATGGTATATTTTGTCGTGATTATAATTGCTGTAATCTGTTATTCGATATCATTGATGAGGGTTTTGATGGGAAACAAAAAAAATTCTTTCGAACAATTTTTTTGTTCCTTGTCCACCATAATAATGATCAATGATCACCAATCACTTGAACAGATTGAATCATTCTCATCATCATCATCAACATCAATATTTCTCAAATAAGTGATTTTCAATGGATGAATGGATGGATTCACTTGCAATCATATCATCAGTTCCTAATTGATGGAGTTAACGATATATTGACGATGAACAAAGAGAAAAAAAGATAATGGTCAGCTCTAGTGAAATAATCATCTATCAGCCAACTATTAGTAACTAAAATGAATAGACCAATGAACAAAAAAATCGTTATATCCATCATCATGATGACATGACAGGAGATAGACACACTAGACAAATCTGTAATCATTTTCATATAAGCATCTGCAATGTTTCACACACACACACACACAAATGTACCATAAATATCGAAATTTAATACAAATCAAATCCGTACAACAACAAAAATGTTTCATAACTATTTATATATCGCAAACAAAACAAAAAAAAAATTTGTTTACTCGAATATGAAATTCGTGAAATATTTTTTTTTTCGCGGCTAAAAATCAATATAAATGTGGCCAATTTCTTGCCAAATACACATCGTATTTTTATTCAAGTATTGTTATATTGAATATATTTGAATATTGTGTAAAAAAAACCAAATAGAAATAAACCCGAATCAAAGCTGTTCAAACAATTTATTGAAATCAGCAGCATAGTCAAGCCAAAAAAGTAAAAAAAAATGACATTAAATGAAAGATAGAGTTGTTTGTTAACAGCAATTTGGATTCATTTTTTTTTTATAGATTTCAAGTGGCCCATTATATATTGCTATCACTTATTTTTTTTTTTGCTGGTCAGTTGGTTAGCCATTTTGCCATCAATTATAACCATATATATAAATGATGATGATGATTGTTGTATCTATATGTGAACCAGCAGCAGCACTTAATCAAATAGTTCAACCAATCACGAATAAATATTTAGACCAGAAAAAATATGAATTTCTGTTTGAATTCATAATGGACATCGTGCGAGACTGACAGTATTCATTTTTAACGATAATTTTCGACATGAACTTGATTCGTTTATGTGTTGCAGTATTTTTTTTTTTTTTTTTTTTGATATTTGATTTTCACTAACTGCCATCTCATAGAATCATCATGTAATTTACAATAATGATCACTGCATGGACAAGACAAAAATTGGATCTTTATCAACCATAAACCATCTATATACTAAATAATAACAATCAATGTATCGATATTTTAACATTTTACCCATTAAAGAAAAAAAAAAGAAAAAAAAAATTCCCGACGC